TGTTTGCCAGCCGCGGCGGCCGCTTTTCCCGCTGCAGGGGGGGGTTCTCCCGCGGGTTCGAGTGCGGACCCCGCCGGGTCCGTCACACATGGCATGAGCATTAAAAGTGTGAGTCTTTCTTGTCAATAGGAGATTTTTTTAAAAATTTGTCTATGAAACAAAAGTATCTAAACCCTCAGCTAAAATGGTTTATGGTCCACATGCATCACATCTTTGGAATTTGGAGGCAGGACATAGTATGCTTCACATTATCAGTCATAACCAAGAAGTTACACTACATAAGGGTATGTCTACACTACCCCCCTAGTTAGGCTTCCTAATCCGAACTAGCTAGTCCGTGCCTCGTGTAGCTGCGCGGCACGGGGTCCGAACTAGCCGGCATTTACAAATGGCGCCGGCCGGCTTTATGCAAATGAAGCCCGGGAAATTCAAATCCCGGGCTTCATTTGCAACTCCGTATGACTACATTACCCCCCCAGTTCGAACTAGGGGGGTAGTGTAGACATACCCTAAGGGATTAAGGGTTAAAAATTGTAAATGAAGTAAAATGAGTATGAATCTTAATTTTATTGACATCTTTTTGTCTTTAATATTGTCTAATAATACTTAAATTCTCTGAGTTATTTTGATTAAAATGCAACCTGTACTGAACACTTCCATATATTCAGTCATTCTTGGGAGACATGGTTCCAGTTTTCTGCTCTGAAATCATAATATCTTCCCAGTTAAAATAAAAACTAATTGAATCAGATAGTTTTACTTTACTTGTATTGTACAGTAATCCAACACCAGATGTGTCTGTGTCCCAGCAATTTCTCCTACAAACATACCTGTTTATTTTTAAGTACATGATAAAATGTGACATGCTTCATGTCAGATCACTTCAAGCTATATCACGTCATATGATGCAACAATTATCAGCACCTCTTTCCCATGTGTTACTGGTAGGTCATTTGCCACATTTCTAATTCAAAAGTCATATCAGCTGCAATCATCCTAAATGCAATATGGCTAGTGTTGGCAAAAAATTGCCCTGAAATGAAATTTCCTGATGTAACTAGCTGACAACCAGAAAGAAAATGTATTCCACATAGGTGCTGAGATATTATGGTGCGGGATGCAATATAAGATTCTAATTAAAATAGAATACAAGTGATATTTTTATGTGGACAGTATGCACAAGTTGCTAAGCAATGTATAGATAGCTATGAATAGGGCTCTATCAAATTCACGGTCCATTTTGGTCAATTTCACAGTCATAGGATATTAAAAATTATAAATTTCATTATTTCAGCTATTTAAAAAGTGTTGTAATTTCAGGGGTCTTAAACTAAAAAGGAGTTGGGGTGGGAGGTTACAGGGCTCTTGTAAGAGGGTGTCACAGTACTGCTACAGTTACTTCTGCATTGCTGATGGTAATGATGGTGCCTTCAGAGCTGAGCATCTGGAGAGCAGTGGCTGTTGGCCAGAATCCCAGTTCTGAAAGCTCACCCACAGCCAGCATCAGCACAGAAATAAGGATGATACAGTATTGTCACTCTTCTGCTTGCAGAGTGGGGCCCTCAGTCAGCAGCTACCACTCTGGCTGCCCAGTGAAGGCAACAGCACAGAAGTAAGGATGACATGGGATGACATCCTTACTTCTACACTGCTGTTGGTGGGTTGCTACCTTCAGAGCTGGGCACCCAGCCAACAGGCCACTCCTCTCTCGCCACCCACCTCTGAAGATAGCACAGAAGTAAGGATGGCAATACCAAAATAAACTTGTTGGCAAGATGTATTTTTCATGGCCATACATTTAGTACGGCCCTAATTATGAAGATAATGGATGAAATCCTGGTGTCGTTGAAGTCAACTCCCACTGATTCAGTAGGACCAGACTTTCACTGAAGATGCCTAATCTGAAGAGCTCATGACCTAAAGATGAACTGAAATGATCATTTATTTGAAGCAAACTTCCAATTGTATAGTATATCTGTACATAAACAAGTGAAAAGCTACAGATCAGCATATAAAGCATCCATTAGATTATACTGTTTTATTTAAATACTGTTCCTGAAGTTATCCACCATGAAACAGTTTGCTAACTATATAATTTAATCGGTATGTATTTATGAAAATTTTGTCCAGTGACTAAAGCATTTAGCGCTTACCTACACCAAGTTTCTTTTACGTTTTACTGTATTTGTATATATGATATAATAAATGCTTCTGATGGCCACACTTGCATTTTAACCACTGTTGTCATTTCTCCCTGCTCAGAGCTGGTACACACAATAGAGTGGTAAAAATGCTGGTTGTATCCAGTCTATATAACACATTCACTGTTGCTGCGGCATATGGATCAGCAGTGACAAGAAATGTTTATCAATAATATGAATAATTAATGTTTATATCTGCAATGATAGTTATGGGAATTAATCATGTTTGTTACCTTCAATATACATTTGAAATGCACAAAAAACTTTCTATACAAATTTCATATTTATTGTGGAACAAACATTACAGTAGCATTCCTACTTTTGTACTGTGTACAGGTGTGGTCTCCTCACCTCAAAAAAGATATTTTGGTCTTAGAAAGGGTTCAGAAAAGGGCAACTAAAATGATTAGGGGTTTGGAACAGGTCCCATATGAAGAGAGCTAAAAAGAGTGGGACCTTTCAGCTTAGAAAAGAGGAGACTGAGGGGGGATATGATAGAGGTATATGAAATCATGAGTGGTGTGGAGAGGGTGAATAAGGAAAAGTTATTCATTGGTTCCCATAATATAAGGACTAGAGGACACCAAATGAAATTAATGGATAGCAGGTTTAAAACTAATAAGCAAAAGTTCTTCTTCACACAGCACATAGTCAACATGTGGAACTCCTTGCCAGAGGAGGCTGTGAAGGATAGAACTGTAACAGAGTTTAAAGAGAAGCTAGATAAATTCATGGAGGTTAGGTCCATAAAAGGCTATTAACCGGGGGATAAAATGGTGTCCTTGGCCTCTGTTTGTCAGAGGCTGGAGAGGGATGGCAGGAGACAAATCGCTTGATCATTGTCTTTGGTCCACCCTCTCTGGGGCACCTGGTGCTGGCCACTGTCGGTAGACAGGCTACTGGGCTAGATGGACCTTTGTCTGACCCAGTATGGCCATTCTTATGTTCTTATGTATTATTACTATCACCAATAAGACTGCAGCATTGTTAGCACTGGACCACTGATGTTCCTAGACCTCAGAGCTCAGGAAAAGGGAGGTCTGGCAGCAGAGGCAGGAGTGCTTTAGAGGTCAACGATGACTCGGCCAGAGTGTGTGGGGGAGGAGGAGGGATGGCATAGTGGGGAGTTCTGGCCCCAGCAGAGCTCCCTGGCCCCAGTGGCTGGGGAGCTCTAGCCTGGCCGCAGCCATGGACTTCCAGCCCTGGCCAGGGAGCTCCAACCCCAGCAGCAGCCAGGGAGCTCCGGCCTGGGCTGCAGAGCTCTGGCCCTGTCTCTCCACCCCAGCCACTGAACCAGACAGCTGTGGAGCTCTACCCCAGCTGCGGAGCCAGGTGGCTGCAAAGCTCTGCCCTTCCATAGGTCTGACCGTGGTGCTCCAGCCGCAACGGAACTGGGGAGAGCCCCGAGAAGGCTGAGGCAGCAACAGGGGCAGGCCTAACCTGGTGGCATCACAGCTATGTGGGGAGGGACCTTCTCTGGTCCAGAAAATCCCCTCGTCAGGGACCAACCAGGTCCCCAGGGTGCCAGACCAGCGAGGTCCAACCTGTAGTAGGAAAGAAAAGGACCAGTTTAGACCCAGGTATATGCACATGGAGTAAGTTAAGGGGGCTAAGATTTGCTTAATTCATAATTCCTTCCTTTTGATGGTTATTTCTCTGTCTTAATAGTCTATTCGTGCATTTTGGGCCAAATCTGTCTCACTTTTCTCCTGTGAACAGCCACTACAATTAGTAGATTAATTATGTGAGTAAGATGAGCATAATTTTGTCTCTAGTGTGTACAAAAAATGAAGAATAAAATTCACATCCAGTAGACTACAATCTGCATGTTTGCTACCTTTCTGTAACTTGGTAAGGCTGGTTGTAATTTTCATGATTGAGGCTGGGAAAAGAGCAAGTTGTGATGCAGTGAAACTGCTAACATATATATATGCCTTGTACAAAGCTGCAGTGTTGATGGAAAAGACAGTCCCACTCAACCTTTTATGTTTGTTGCTTAGAAATGATTGGGATCCTCCTGACAGAAAAGTAGACACCCGTAAATTCCGTTCTGAACCAAGAAGTATTTTTGAATACGAGCCGGGGAAGTCATCAATTCTTGAACATGAAAGACCGGTAAGAGGTGTATATGAAATGTGTTCAAAAAAGGCTTAATGAGAATTAATGTTTTGTTTATTTTAATTTTTAGTAAGTATTGAATGCCTATTTTCATATTTGAGGTTTGGTCAGCTCACTTGGTGATTTTGCCTTACCCTTGAATGGTTGTGAAGATGATTTGGGATTGGTTTGGCTTACTTATTCAATGTAGCTTCTTTGACACTAAAAAGAAACCAAAGAATCACTGTGAGAAATTTAAACTCCCTTTAGATTTCACATGTTAAGATGTAAATTCATGGAAAGTAATTATTTGCAAATGTAATGCATATCCATCACCCAATTTATCACCTGTTTTGTAATAATTTTATCAACACACCTAATCATGCACATGCATGTGGTGGTATGCCACTAGACAGATGAGAAAAAAATCCTACAGTGTGTTCAGGATATGTGCCTAATAGTACCATCTCAAGAACATTGGTTGCCTATACACTAACCTATGGACTAAATATTCCTTATTGCCATTTTCTAAGCTATATGTCTACAGTTGTGAGATTCCTCTCAAGCATGTCTAATAAGGCTGAACTCTAATGCTCACAAAATTATCATTAATCTAAGTTTCCATTAACTGAAAAGGCATATGCAACCAGCTCTTCTTCTATAACTGAGAGTGTTTCAATGCTCCATTGTTTATGGATGAAATGGTGGTTGGGGGAATGTATGTGGTTAAGGGGGAGTTATAGTATTATTATACATGTATTCAGATGGCTCATTTTACTAATCTAAAATATATTGCATGCATGGATTGTGGTATATATAATAAGTCAACAGTATGTCAAAGAATTGCACTGATATATCTGTTTCATCATATTTTTCTATAGTTTATATTATAATATGAGTTTAGTTAATTAGCTTCTATAGCAAACTGTGATTCTATAAAATAAGGCTCTTATAGAACTCAGACTTTCTTTCCAAGGGGAATTTCCCTTTTTAGCATAGGCCACTTAAACTGTCTGAACTAATTAATCATTCTAATGATTTACCAAAATTTCCCTGACCTAGGAATTAGTAGTTATTGTCAAGCTGAATTTACAAACAGTTCTGTGAAAAAATAATTATATTTTGCTGAGTAATTTTTCTCCCTCAGTAGCTGCATTACAGATATGGTCATTTACTAGCTTTTTCAATTACAGACAATCTTCAGCAAGTGAATGGTGATAGTCATAGGTTAAACACTTTTTAAAAATTACAAAGATATTTCATGTGAGGACACACATCTCTAATAAATTTAGACTTTCTGATATGAAAAATTAACAAGAGTAATGCATACTAGATCTGCAGTGCTGACGAATGTGATAATACAATTTTTACTTTAAATGCACTCAGTTGTCACCACTTTAAAGAAAGTGTGTGTGTGAGAGAGAGAGAGAGAGAGAAATATTTGTCCATTGCTTGAGATTTCTTAAGCAAGTAAAATAAGCTTTTTCAATAGAAAAGTTTTCCCATTTTTTGATTGAATGAGGATGGTTGCTCTGGTGGATCATAACAGCCAGGAAGTCCATACCTAAAGCTGCTTTGGGCTGGCCCACAAGGCCCCAAACTTCCCCCTGTTGCCGCCCTGTTTTTGGAGATGTTGCATAGAACCCAAGTGACTGGCTAATCCAAGAGGTCTGCAACCTATGGCTCTTTTGTCATTCCCAATATTCACACAACTTTTTAAAATAAAATGAAAACATTAATTCAAACTTTTTAAAACGTATAATTACTCATGTCAAGATGAAGGTTTTTTGGTCTATTTCACTTTTAACTGTTTGTTTTAACAACTATCCATCCTCTCCACTCATTGTGGGTTGTGTATATTCTCTTTATTGGATTGGTCAAGAAATCTTTCAATCACCATAAGTGATGGTGAACTCTGTAGCACCTTAAGAGTAAAAATGGCAAAGAGAAGAGAGATGACGAGTATCAAAATTTTCTAAAGGAGTGGGCAGACTTGTATGCAATTGTAGATAGATATGGATCTCCACACTGTCTCATTTGAAATGAGAGACTGTTCACAAACAAACAAACAAAACCAACAACCCTGAATTTCATGGCAAAACATGTAGCATTTGCTACAAAATAATCTGAAGGCAATGCACGAAAAGCCTGTGAGGAGCTACAGCAAAAAATGAACATTGAACAAAATAGCCTGCTGGCATGGTCAAAAAGGGTGGGAGCTTAAACACAAGTTGTGCAGGCTCATACAGCATTATCTGAGAAGGGAAGCCTCTCATTGATGGGGATTTCATGAAGAGATGCATGCTAAAAATTGGCCATGAACTATTTGATGAGTTTCAAACAAGGACAAAATCTTACAGACAATTGAAGACATGCCATTATTGGCAAAAGCAGTCTATGACAGAACTGTGAAAATGGCCCATCAACTCAACAAGGAACAAATGCAAAATTTGAGTACAGCTACTTATTTTTCATTTGCTTTGGACAAGACAACTGATATTTGTGGTGTTAATCAGTTGTATATTTTGGGACGATATATTTGTGAAGATGCTGTGAGAAATGATTGCGATATTACCAATGAAAAATCGAACAAGGGGCAAAGACATCCTTAAAACTCTGATGAACTACGTAAACAAGAAATACAATTGTATAATCTTTTGTCTTTGTGTACAGATGATGCACCTAAAGCAGTTGGCAAATACAGGGGATTCCTTATTTTTTTCAGAACAGCTGAACCACCCACTTCTGAACTTTCATTGCATTGTGCATAAAGAGGCACTTTGTGCTCAATCTTGTGGAACTGAATTCAGAAATGTAATGGGACTGGTCATTCACATTGTCAATTGGATTCTTGCCTGAGTCCTTAATCACCATCAATTTCAGTCACTGCTCAAGGATGTCAAATCCGAATACCCCAATCTACTAATGCACTATGTTCGTTGGTTATCTCATGGCAAAGTTTTGTTTCATTTTGCCTTATGCGTTAAAGAGATTAAGTAATTTTTTTATATGAAGTGTGTCAAACACATTGAGCTTTCAGACTGTAACTGCTTGCTCAAATTTTAGTATCTCATTGACATTACTGGTCATTTGAATGCATTGAACCTTAATCTACAAGGGCAAGGAAATATAGTCCTGACTCTGCAGCAGGCAGTGTTTGGATGTGAATCAAAACTGACTGTGTCTTCATCAAAGGTATTAAGACGGGCAGACTGGCACATTTTGATAGTTTATGAATGTTTCGTGATTTGTCTCAGAGAGAGAATCCAAGTAACAGCCTTGATTTGCAGTAGCTTGCTGGGTTTGTTTCTACGGGTATGTCTACACTACCCCCCTAGTTCGAACTAGGGGGGGTAATGTAGTCATACGGAGTTGCAAATGAAGCCCGGGATTTGAATTTCCCGAGCTTCATTTGCATAAAGCCGGCCGGCGCCATTTGTAAATGCCGGCTAGTTCGGACCCCGAAGCCTAATCCAAACTAGCTAGTCCATGCCGTGTGTAGCCGCGCGGCACGGGGTCCGAACTAGCCGGCATTTAAAAATGGTGCCGGCCGGCTTTATGCAAATGAAGCCCGGGAAATTCAAATCCCGGGCTCCATTTGCAACTCCGTATGAATACATTACCCCCCCCCCGTTCGAACTAGGGGGGTAGTGTAGACATACCCTACGATCCTGATGGTATTCAAGTCTAGTTTTGTTGACTTTTGCAAACACGGTGCTCTAAGTTTATGATTCATCCACAGAAAGCATCCGATGGGGGAACTAGATTTGACAGTCATCTCAGCATTTTGGAAATGGAAATAGCAGATTTCAAAGCAGGGTGGAAAAATTTGCCACGCTGAATTCTGATTTAGAATGTCTTGTTTGACAATGTGCAGAATTGACAAAACTGCACAAAAGGGCTGACACAAAGAAATTGCAGCAGGATGATAATCTGATTCTACAATCTTGGAAAGAACTTCTATATACCACCATGCAGAATGTCAGCTTGGCCTTACTTTCAATGTTTGGCTCCACTTGTATGTGTGAGCAAGCTTTCTCTCATTTGAATCACATCAAAGGTAATTTGTGCTCAAGAGTGACAGAAGATAGCTTCATGCATGCATTCAGGATGAATTTGACCAGTTATGATGTAAACTTCAAAGAAATGTGTGAAAAGATGCAGCAGCATAAGTCCCATTAAATAAAGTCCTTGAGTACAATGTTTCATTTATGTTATTATTAATCATCATGTCAATTATTAGTAATAATAAGTTGCATACTTTCAGTCATGCAAATGGGCATTCTTATACTGGCTCTTTGACCACCTGTTCCAAATTTTGATGTAGTTTGGCTCTTTGGTTTGAAAAGGTTGCCGACCCCTGGGCTAATCCATCTTCTATTTTCTGTAAGGAACACCAGCTGCTAACTTTTGTATAACTGGAAATGTTATCCCAGACACACTGATTCACTGTAGGTTAATTCTGTGAATTCCTGAACCAATACATGTCTAAGAAAGAAAAATGTCCTCTTGGGTATAAAAATCTATAGAGTATGTTTCTGTGCCATAAGGTAATGTGCTTCATAGAAATACAGTTTCTAAAATGCTCTAATGTGTTGTTCATTAATTGGACCATGTAGACCCTCCTGTTTTGGGCTAAAGGTTCCCTAGTGCAGTTAATGAAGTACTGTTTCAAACAGCAATGTGTTACTGCACCAGCAGGATATACGTGGCCCAATTAATGCACAATGTGGTAGCATGCTCCTACAGCGCACATTACCCCACTGTGTAGACAAGCCCTTACTATACGGGAATGAGGACTAACCAGTAGTTTTTTTACTTTTTTTCCCAGGTTATCTAGTTCAGAATCATAAAAAGGTGTGAAACAAACTGATTAATCCAGATGCTTTTATATGAAGACTTAGCTGTACTACTGCTTAGTTCTCTGTATTCATGTTTTGGTTTTTTTTTTAGATATTTTCCTTTGTACTCTCTTCAATTATATACACTAGGCTTCTGTAATTTGTGATCTTCTAAAGACATATTTAATTCAAGACCAAGGGCAGGTCTATACTGACTGGGAGGATCAGAACTGCAGTGATCCCACCAAGGATCGATTTAGTTGGTTTAGATAAAACCCACTAAATCGACTGTTGATTGCTTTCTCGTCAACGCCAGTGCTTCACTGGCATAAGGGAAGTTGACTGGAGAACGTCTCCCATTGACTCCCCCCAGATGAACCTGCTGCAGCTATGCTGTTAACATAGCTAGAGTTGCATACTTTAGGTCAATATTGCCCACAGGGTTGACCTGCCCTAAATAAAGTAGCAAATCTGAAATTTATAAAGCCAAATTTAATGTAATTTTTCTATTAAAGTCTTGGAAGTAATTTTTTATTGAATCACAGTAGATTATAGTGGTTCAGTGGTAATATTGAACTATAAATATCATGGAGATGAAGGATGATCTTATGTCTACTGACTAAGAACATGATTCAGGAGAAGTCACTTCATTCTCTGGTATGTGATACAGGCAAGCAAATTCTCTCTGGGCTTCAGTTCCCCATCTGTAAAACTGGAATAATGTTTCTTCTACATCTGAGTAGAGCTGTGAGGATAAATCTGTGTTTTTGGATAGTGTCCAGATGCTATGGTAATATCTTCTAAATACCTATATCTAGATAGCTCAATAGTGCTGTTAATTGAACTAACAGCAAGATTGGGGCAAACCCTATCTAGAGAGAGAAGTCAAGGCTTGAGTAAGTGGCTGGAGTATGTGGGCTGTTTCCATGTGCTGTTCCATTTTCTCTTTGGGAAAAATGGTCACCCAAACTGTGCCCCATATTGTCATTTTGAGACACTGGATTCAACTTGACTCAGGGCAATGTTGCCTACTGAATCACCAATATCATTGTTCAGGCAGGCATTGGCTTAGCTTATGAGAGATGATAAACTGGCATACTACATAACTATACAGTATTACATTTTAAATACAATCATATGAGTTTAAGAAGAAGGGGGCTTATATGTCAGAGACTTTAAACTAAGGCTACACTGTACCTTTGTGCTACATGACAGTTTACTTCAGGCTGTACAAAAGAATTCAATACCCTTTAGGAAATAATTTAAATAAGTTTTTTAAAAAATTCCACTGGAGCTGCCATTGTTTTGGACTGTGGTTTTTGCATGAAGAATTATTTTTCTGCTCATTGGGCAGTTTCCTTTATAATATTTTGGACCCATGCTATGCCAATGCACAGAGGATATGAGATGTTATAGCCCTGAGCTACAGAGCGTCGGGGTTCTTTAGCTCACGCTGTAGCAGCTCATGTATTTAACTTTGGAGATGCTCAATTCAGTCTCAGATGCATTGGCCAAGATGGCAGCTCACGAACTGAAATTTGTACTTGTTCCCATTTTTTGCTGAAAAATGGGAACATTTTCATAGAAAATAATTAAATCAAAAGGTCTGCATTAGACAAAAGTTTTTTTTAAAAAAAACAAAACCACTCAGAATCCATAATTACTAATATTTTATACATTTCAAATAAGATGATTTAAATAGATGGCAGTTTCATTACACTGGTTGAAATGGCTTTTTAACATAATGATTCCTGCATGATGCATATCGCTTATCTGTGCTGTGCGCTTATCTTCAGGCTTCAGGTTGAAAAAGTACAAAATTAACACACCTTCTTTTATAAGAAGACCCAACAGTGGCAAAAGCAATGTAGCTAAAATCATGTGCCTATCTACAAATGGTCAAGTTGGGCACTCTTTTGTACGCACTAAAGGAAAAACAGATTTAAATATTTTCTTAGCAGGAAACCTTTGTAGGCTGGCATTAACTGTACCGAACAAAGCACTGTGTACAAAGCAAGCAACCAGCCATTACATTTGTTCTATAATTATGCTCCTTTCTTTTGCAGGACAGTTAGGCTTTCGATCCCTAACTGTTAATGCTGCCAAAAATAATACTCAGCTTTTCAAAAATTATTTTGAAGTGCTTGACATCTTTAATATTTGGTGTAACATTATGCAATAACCAATGGAAGAAAAAGCTGAAAAAGGAGGCATTTTAAAACAACTAGTTTGTAACCAGTCTTGAACAAAAACATGTTCCATATGGAATTCCATCTTCATTCTTTGGTTTTATTTCACTCCCTTTCTCCCTATTACTTGTTTTGTGTGTGTGTGTGTGTGTGTGTGTTGTGTTAATGTGACATGACATTTCCAGACTTTGCTCAGTGTGTGCCTTTTCCTTCCCTTTTCCTTCACAACGGCTCCAGATTGATCACATAACCCCAGATGACATAGATTTAGAAAATGAACCCTGGTATAAATTCTTTTCAGAACTGGAATTTGGATGTCCGGTAAGTGAGGCTAGAATATTAATATTTAAACATTAGGATAATATATTGCTAAAATGCAATCCATCAAATGCTAAACAGACATGTAATGAGAAAGATAGAGATATTAAACTCAACAGTATAATACATCTTCATCCGTGTATGTTAACGTATATTTCTATACAATATTGGCCCAATTTTTTATTCATAAATCAAGAAAATAATCCACTGAACTCCATAGGTGTTTTACTTACGAAAGACCAGAAGAATTGGGTCCAATGTGCATACACATTGGGCCATTTTCTTTTTAAAATGCATAATCTGCCAAAACATTGATTTTAATCACTAATTAAGGTGTGTATGCTACATAGAACAAGTAGTATATATACAAGTTGATAAATGTTATATCAGCCATTTACAAAACATAATTGTTTATGACTTTTTCTAAATGTTTGCATTTGGAAAGATTAGATTTGAACAATTAAATTATCACGAGTAGAGAAGACATTTCCATATAGACTAAAGTTAGTTTTGTATGAAGGAATATGTTTATTTTTAATACATATGCACACACACAAAATAAATGCCATTCAGAAACTCAACATTGGTATGCCTGTCATTATGGAATCTTCATCCTAAGTATAATAGATACTTCAGTTAGTGCAAGTGTCCGTGGAAACAAATGTTGACTTTGGGAGGGTAGAGGTTGAAAAGGGGGAATTCAATATTTCTGGACACAGGCATCTACAATAACTGTAGTGTTAAGGTGACAAATGTACTAATGTTGAATTTTTAAATGATGCCTGTTTTGTGTGCATGTGTCTGTCTCATCCACACATACGCAGGATATATAATTTTATACTTCAATAGGTATTAGCTTTAATTTAAGATAAACATCTACTTGCATCTGCATGCTCTTTGGGTTTACTCCAGTTTTCACAAAAGTCAGTAACAAAACTCCCCTTAATGTCAATGAGAGCAGAAGCAAGCCTTGTATATGCAACTGAAGGGGACTGCAAACCCATTTTTATTGATTCAAGCCATTACATTATATTTAAAGATTCAGATCCTAATTTTCTTTTTCACTCAAACAATGTACAGTATTTGATACTTAAGTATTTTTTTAATTTGTAGTCCTGCAATACATTCCTCATATTTTCATCAAACTAACTTTAACCTCATTTTATCAAGCTTTTAAAACTTTTAAAATCATCATTCATCCATATGTGCACAGGGCATAGTCAGACTAAAAAAGCTCTACCTTGAGACATATCAATAGTTATTGTCATTATTATCCTTTAAAATGTAAACTGAACATAGAAATGTCACTAGCAGGCCATAAATACTCAGTCCTTTATTCTATGTTCTTCTATCTCAAAAGTTTTTAAACTGTTGGAATTAATTAAACCATTCATATTTTAAGATAGAAGTTTTATTCACTAAAATTGCTAACATTTTATTATGATGCTTGATAGTATTGCAAAATTATTGTACTACAATCTTACTTCCAGTCAACCCCCATTTTGCTGCTTATGAGTCACTCTTTTATCTGATGCTATCAACGCTTAGTTCCTAACTATGTCACCTTCTCCACATGTTTCATTCCTTGCTGCCATTGATACTGCTCCATTTCATCTCTACACTTCTACTTATATGGTGCAGCCTCCTAAAAAGCTTTTGGACTATGTTCAAGACAATTCTCCTGGTGTTTCCAATGAGGTAAATGAAGCATTCTTTCTTGTTCAGATCATTTGTTGGGGAAACAAGAACATGATACTCACCAGTCTTACCTGACTTTGTTAATCTTCAGTGATTTCCTATCAATAATTCCTGGGCTATTCATAATTCACAATTTTATCTTTGTCTTCATATCTTTCAAGATCACAAGTGCATATGGATATTATTCTTATTACATTAGAAATGGAGTACACAGCCCCAAACCACTGTGTCACATTCAGAATTATAAAATAAACCATACATTTCTAAATATTGATACATTC